ATGGCTGGAGTCACCATTACATCTCTTCTGCCTGAACATAACACAGGAAGGCAGCGTGCTTTTGGGAAATGCCACGGGCCTCAGCAGCAGGCTGTGCCACGGCGCAGGCAGCTCCCTGAACTGCAGCATTCCTGCGGGTTGTCTTCCCTAGGAGAGGTGCTGGCAGCCAGTGCTGCGGCTAAAACCTGTGCAGCTGGGGGCGTCTGAAGTAGTTGCAGTAGCGTCCGCAGAACACTTGCTGCAGGTGCCTCGCCCAGCACAAAAACCCGTCAGCTGTCAGCACTCCTGGTCCTCCCTGTGCCCTCCCCTACCTCGCTACGAGCAACTCACAGGAACAGCCGGCAGCACCACTACGGCTGCCACCAGAATCCTTCCAGAGATGGCAGAAGCCCTCACTGCACAAACAAGGCAGGCTCACGAGATCCCAGTGAGCTGGGTCTGTGTGCTGGAAGCACCCGGCTGATGGCAGGGGCCAGACCTGAGCCCCCCCAGCCACACACTCAGCTACAGGAAATCAGCAGAACTTCTCCTCCCAGGGGCTGTCCCTGGCGGTGCCGTGCTGACCGCGGCTGTGCCAAGAGGGCACCGGCGGGGACACCTACCTTTTCGTGCCATTGGAGTAATATTGCACTGCTATTTTCTGTTGGCTTTTCGAATCCTTTATAAATATACTTCATTAACAAGTCAATGCCATTTCCGTCTAAGGAGTTCACCGCTTCTTCTATCTCACTGCTTTTAAAAGCCATGAGCACTTTGAGCATGGTTCCCTGCGCCTGCTCCTGCAAAGGGAAGGAAAACGACATCAGAGCCGGGCGCAGTCCCCACACCGTGCTGGGTGCGCTCAGGGGCGCAGCGGCTGCACTGGAGGGCGGTTTGATTGTTTGTTGTGCCGAGCAGGCGAACGTCCTTCACTTGACACAGGGAGAAGGCAGAAGGGGAGGCCTTTCAAAGCGGGCGTTTTGGTGCTGTTTTCTCAGAGGAGCCACCAGAGCGAGCTGCCCGCTGAGCTGCACCAACCCCCGCGCGTTACGCACGGTTTGCTTGCTGTGCTCCCCCTGAGCCTCCCGGCCACCCATCTGGGCACGGCCGCCCTTCCTTTCCCCTTCCCTCCCCTCCCCTCCCCACCGTCCCCCCCCTCACCTTGGTGTCGGGGCTGGCTGCCAGGCGCGGGGCGCTGCGCAGGGCGGCGTGCAGGGCCCTGAGCGCGTCCCCCCTGCGGCGCTGCGAGTCAAGGAGCGCAACGGGCGCGGCGCCGGCCCCCCCCCGCCCCCCGCCGCCAAGGATACCGCCGCAGCAGCGCCTCCGCCTCGGGGCCGGGCTCGGGCTCTGCCGGCGGCGCCTCCTCGGGCTCGTCCTCGAAGCGGCTCCCGTCGAAGCGCTCCACGTCCAGGCGGCGGAAGCGCGACGACAGCGTGCTCCGCGCCATGCCGGAACCGGAACCGGGACCCGCCGGAACCGGAACCCGCCCGCCGGAAACGGAACCGGAACCGCCCCCTGGGACCGGCAGCCGGAACCGGAATCGGAACCCGGACCGGGACCGGGACCGGGACCCAGCCGCCGGGACCCTCCCCCCCCCCCCCGGCCGCACGGCCCCGGTGTGAGCCCGGAGCGCCCCCGGGCAGGGCCGGGGCCGGGCCTCGCGCTCTGAAATTCCCCGGGGGGGCCGGGACCAGCCCCAGGCCGCGCCCCGGTTTCGGCGACGGAACGGGAACAGAGGCAGGAGGCAGCGTTGGGGCAGCAAAGTGCGCAATAAAAATGTATTGGGGGGGGGGGGGCTCAGAGGAAGTACGGCGTGGTGGTGCGCGGCGGGATGACGCGCTCCGAGTCGGGCACGGCGCGGAACAGCTTGGGCTCCCTCGTGTTTACGTCCTTGAACACCATGATGGAGGCGATGTTCCCGCAGCGGTAGCAGTAGTTGGGGGCGGACCACACGGTCACCAGCTTCTCGTCGAACATGAACTTGTAGCCTTCGTGAACCAGCTGGTGCGCTCTGCAGATCAGCTTCAGGTTGTTGATGTGAACAAACTGCGGGGGAAAAGGAACCTGAGCGCTCCGCACGCTGTGCCCGGCACCCACAGCCCCTGGGCAGCCCCCAGCTGCAGCCCTGCTGCACAAACCCACCCCAGGGCTTCTCTCTTTCCCAGCCCTCTGTCATGTTCAGGCTGTGCAGATCCTCAGGGCAGCACAGCACCAACAGTGCCACGAGCAAACCTCTGTCTCGGTGCACACTGAGAGGGCACGCTGGGGTTCTGAACCCTCAGCAGTGCGAACCGCTCATTTCAGAGGCAGGCGGGATGCCTCAGGCTGCGCTGTCAGAGATGTCAGCCCTTCCTCTGTGGGAAGGCCCCAGAGAACAAGGAGCAGCACAAGGATTTTGTACCATCACTGGCTCAGAAGCCTGGGAACATCAAAATGTCTGAGCCTCGAGAAGTCTGCTCGCTGCTTTGCAAAGTAACAAAAGTTACGTGAAGAATTGTTAAGGAAATGGTATCTTTGTCTTCTCCCAGCTCCTCGCCAAGTTCTCTGCGCCCTCCCCAGCAGTATGGTTGGTCTCATTGCACTGCACTTTGTAAAAGCAAGGTCAGCGCTCTGGCCTTTGGCAGTTCTCTCTCTGCCTTTAGGATCAAACAGCTGGCTCTTTTCAAGTGGGCTTAAAGGGGCAACAACAAGGCACGAGCAAACCTCCTCCTCCTCCTCAGCTTCCTTGCAGTTCCCCCACGAGGCCAGTTCCCCTTGCAGTGCCCCAGTCCACTCACCGCCAGGGTAAATGCCGAGGCAGCCCCCAAGCAGCGTGTCCCACACCCACAGTTACACGCGGCAGCACCCTCACCTCGTTCGTCACCTTGGCTCCGAACAGCCAGCCTGCCCCCCGCGGGCTGATGGCCCACGTGTCCACGTCCTCCGGGTCCGACCACACCAGGTCGCAGAAGGCGCCTTTGTGAGGAATTTCTTGATTGCGTTCGATGGTTCGGATCTGATCGAGCGTCTTGATGTCTGGAGACAGACCGCCGTGCACGCAGAGGATCTGCTCGTCTATTAACTGGGGAGAGGCACGCAAAACACTCAGTATTTCAGTCAAACCCAGCACGCTGCCGGGGTACCCCTAGCGGCCACCAGTGCTGGAGGTCGCATGTAGATGACCTGCTTGGGGGGCTCCTGGGGCGTTTACACTTACAGCTGCTATTGTGAGCATGTCAAAGACTTTGGTGCAGTACCTCCACGCGTTAGCATTGCCGTATTTGGTTTGGCACTCATCTGTTAAATAGACAAGTTTTTCCTTCTCAGCGGAGCAGAAGTTCAGGCAGTAAGGTCAGAGGCAACACAACAGAACTTGGAAAGTCAGGCGTACAACAAAAACACACAACACAAACCCGAGCAGCCAGCAAGCAAACAAAACCCCGGTCAGGAGCAGCAGCAGTGGATCCAGCAGCGGGGAGCAGCCCCCGGTGCTGCAGCTCTCTGCTTGCAGAGCACCACGTGCAGACACCGGGGGCTCAAGCAGCCGACGCTTTCCCTGCTTCCCACAGACCCCTCGGCTCAAGGGCAGCTTTTGGAGCCGTACAACGTGACACTGAAGCTGGCAGACACATGTCCCTTTTGAGCTGACTGGTGAACGTTTACTGGTGCTCTTGGTGGCAGTCACCCAGCTGGACACACGTCACAGCCCGTGCTCTCTGCTCCCTGTTGCAGGTGTTACGCTACTTCCCAGGATTTCCCAGATTTTACCAAAGCCTCACACCACGGAACAAAATAATTTTCCAAGCAACTCAATTCCCCCAGATTTTCAAGCAGTCGTTCTGCTGCTCACTTCTTGTCCAGGGCTTTCCCAAATGGGAACTGTTGACAATAAATGAACGGCCTCCACAGCAAACTCCACACACGGACACTTTTGGTTTACACAGGGAGAGTTTCGGTAACAGCAGGGTTTGGTGCAGAACCTTTCATTCAGACACCGAAGCGCATTGCCAAACAGAAGCACAGACAGAAACACAGACACTGGAGGGAGGGGTGGGCGAGGTCTGGCCTAGAACACCTCTACTTCACGAGCACAACAACCACGTTGACAATGTTAAAGGTTTATTGAGTCCATTTCCCCCCAGTTCTGGAAAAGCCCCACGCAGTGCCGCGTTCAAAGCGGGCTCCCAAGGGAGAGGAGAGGCACTGGGTCCCGGCACGCCAACCCCCAGTCAGACAGCTTTGGGTGAGCACTTACCGTAGAATCCATACACCTGCGTTATCTGCCTGCTCTCATGATTGCCCCGTAACAGTGTGATACGATCAGGCCACTTAGCTTTTAGTGCAAGGAGGTAAGTGAAAGTCTCGAGACTATAATAACCTCTATCTACAAAGTCACCCTGCAAGTCAAAAACACATCGGTGAACGCACAGACAGGGGCGGGGCAGGGATTCCCGACAGGAACCCGGAGGCACCGGGCGCCCCAGGGACACCGGGTGGGTGCTGGGGCTGCCGTGCCTGCAGCAGCACCGGGAGCGGGGAGGGGCAGCAGGGGCCGCACGTACCATGAAGATGTAGTTGGTGTCCGGCACCTGCCCGCCGGTCCGGAACAGCTCGCACAGGTCATAGAACTGCGGGGAGGGCGCGGGGCTCAGCGCGGGCAGGGAGGCACCGGGCGCTGAGGCCGGCGCCGTGCGGCGCGGCGGGGCCGTTACCTGGCCGTGGATGTCGCCGCACACCGTGACGGGCGTGCAGACGGGCTGCACGTTGGACTCCTCCAGCAGCAGGTCACACACGTAGTCACACAGCCGCTGCGGGGCACGGCGGGCTCGGTCAGGAGGGGCGGCGCCACCAGCCCCCGGTGCCCGCCGCCGCCCCGGCCCGGTGCCCGCCCCGCTCCCGCTCCCGGTGCCCTCCCGCCCGGTGGCCGCACCTTGAGGTCGTTCTCGGGCAGGTACTTGCAGAGCCGCGCGATCTCCACGTACTTGTCCAGGTCCAGCGGCGCCATCTTGGCTCGGCGGCTCGGGGCCGGAAGCGGAGCGCGAAGCTTCCGGGAGGCGTCACCGAGCGGAAGCGGAAGCGGAGGGGGAGGGGAGGGGAGCGGAAGCGCTTCCGGCGGCGGGCACCGGGAGGGCGGGGAGGCAGCGCCCGGCCCGGCCCCGCCATGGGGGCGCCGCTGGAGCCCCTGGAGCCGGGGCAGGCGCCCGCAGGCGGCCAAGTGGTGAGCAGCGACCCCCGGTATCCCCCGGTATCCCCCCGGTACCCTCCCGCCTCTGAGCGCCGCCTCCCCGCAGGTACCGGCTGCGGCCTCGCGGTGCGGGGCCCAGCGGGCGCGTGGGGCCCGGCTGCCTCCTGCTGCCCGCCCGGCCCGGCCGCGTCCTGCTGCTGGGCGGCGCCGACACCGACGGCGCCTTCGCGGACGCGCACGTCCTGGAGCTGGGTGAGCGCCGGGGGCAGGGGGGCGGCGGGGCCCTCACCGGGACCCCACGGGGCCCTCACGGCGCTGACGCCGCCGGCGGTGCCCGCAGGGTCCCTGCGCTGGGCCCAGGCCGGCTGGAGCGGGCTGCGGCCGCGCTACGAGCACGCCACCTTCCTGCCCCCCCTGCCGCCCTCCGCGCCTCTGGGTCTTCGGCGGCGCCGACCAGGCCTGGGAACAGGAGCTGCGTGCAGGCGCTGGACCCCGGTGAGTGACCGGCACCGGCAGGGCTGGGGGACTGGGGCTGTGGGCTGGTGGCAGCCCCGGCAGCCCCCCGACTCAGGCCCGGGGGTGTTCTCCGTTCCCACCCCCCTGCTGTGTTGCTTTCTTGATGAAACGTCTCAATCAGAAACAGGAACCTGGGAGAGTCCTGCGGTGGCTGGCACCCCGCCACTGCCCAGGACGTTCCACACATCCTTGGCAGCTGTCGGGGACCGCCTGTACGTCTTCGGAGGGGGAGACAAGGGAGCAGAACCTGTCCAAGACCAGCAGCTTCATGTGTTCGACACAGGTACCTCTGGGCTGTTGTCAGAGGGTGGAAATGAGCAGCCTCTGGGCTGCAGGTCTGCGTTCTGAGCTCCTCAAGGATACACGAATACTGGGATCCTGCCTTGGCTGCCAGCTTAAGTGGGTGGACAGGGGTTGTTTGCTGCTCTGATCTTTGTACTGGAACTGGGAGTTTGGACCAAAATAGCAATGGGATGGCAGTGCCATGGGTGTTCTCGCCCAGTCTTATTGCTCTGTTCACTCCTCTGGCCCCGCATGCAGCAAAGGAAGGCATCAACAAGGCTGCGGCACTGCTCGTTTGGGGAGCCCCAGAGCCGTTCCCTCACACGGCTGTGCTCTGTTGCAGCCACCTGTACCTGGTCCCAGCCTGACACCCGCGGCGATCCCCCGTCCCCCCGGCACGGGCACGTCATGGTGGCAGTCGGGACCAAACTCCTCATACACGGCGGTTTAGCTGGCGATGTTTTCTACGATGATCTGTTCTGCATTGATACAGGTAAGGATGGATGCAGGTTCCTCAGAGCAGGAGCTGTGGTGGTGCACTTTGCTCTCAGGGAGACCTTTTCACTAAAAGGTCACTGCAGTGTGGTGGGCAGGGAAGGTGAGGTCTGTGTGCTGCCACATCTTGCTCAGCTTGGCTCTGCTGCTTTTCGCAGAGTAGTACCGAGTAGTCTGCAGCTGGCTTTGCTTTCTCTTTCAAACACGTAACAATTATTTCCTGAGCTCAGAAAAGCAAAACCTACAGGAACCCTTTTTAAAATAAAGGAAAACTATGATTTGGGGTAGTTGAAAACTATGATTTGGGGTAGCCATGAAATATTTCAGTCCTGCTGAGCATTACTATTTTTGTGTTGTTTTCCTCCCACAGCAGACCTGACGTGGGTTAAGATACGAGCCAGCGGTGATGTCCCTGGGGGACGGGCGTCGCACGCCTCAGCAGTGCTCAGGGACCACGTGTACATCTTCGGGGGCATGGGCCCGGCCGGGGCCCTGGACACCACGCACAAATACCACATGGGTAGGGAGAGCTCAGGGCGTGGCAGTAAATGCAGTGTCTGCAAACAGCCCTCCGTACCCGGGCTTCATCTTCTCTGCAGTCGGTGTCATTGCCCTGGGGCTGTACCAGCACGAGGCCAAACGCTGCGGCTGCCTCTCTCTGCTGGTTTTTAGGGCTGTGTAATGGTGCAGACTGGTCCACGGTGATGGCACCGCTCCAGCAACGCTTCTCTGAGTCCAAAGCACTGTTTATGCTGTGATCGCCTCTCTTTGCTCTGCAGGGGAGCAGCGGTGGACGCTCCTGCGCTTTGAGTCCCCACTGCCCGCTGGGAGGTTGGACCACGCCATGTGCGTCATCCCCTGGCGCGCCCCTGGCAGCCCTGGCGCTGTGGGAGAGGAAGCCGAAGAGGAGCCGGCGGGGGGCAAGGCTGACCTCCTGCTGGGGAGCCAGGAGGAGGAGGAGGAGGAGCAGGGCTGTGGGGAGGACCCAGCGCTGCATCTGCTGTTTGTGTTTGGGGGAATGGACACGCAAGGGGAGATGTTCAGGGACTGCCTGGTGACCCTGATCGAGTAGCGGGGCGGGCCCGGGAAGGTTTTGTAGCAGTGCCTGAGCAAGGCCCTGCCCTGCAATAAACACGGTGTTGCTGTCAGGGGTGGCTCCGTGCTCCCAGCTGGGTACAGCCGCTCTCCCTGCACTCACAGCTCCTGTCCCTTGGCAAGGCTGCGGAAGAGCCTCAGCAGCTGGAACACGTTGCTTCTGGGCAGCTTCTCCCTAAGGCAGCTCTCAGCATCCTGCTTGGCCACGGAAACCTGCAGGGCACTGTTACCTACAGCTTTCTGAAGGGTACTTAAAGGGGTTTAGCTGCCACTACTGTGAAAATGAGCGTGTAGGGCCACCTGTCTCCCACCCCAAGGAAAACACCACAGGCAGGGGAGCAGGCAGAGGAGCTGGGCTTTGTTCCTGCAATGTGAGAGACTTTGTCATTACCGAGGGAGCCTGAGCTGCAAGGAGCTGCTTCAGAGCCTGCTGCAGCTGGGGTTCAGGCCTTGTGAGCGAGCTTTGGGCTCAGTCTCCCCCATGCTCACACAGCCGCACTCCAGGAGCAGTAGGTGAGGGTGAGGAGTCTCACCCAACCCAGGGCAGGGGTCTGGCTGCTGAAGCTGATTGCTGGGCACTTCCCCACAGGTGGAGCAGGCTCCTTGTGCAGAAGGAGCTTGAACCCAGCTTTTGGCAGCAACCAGTAGCATAGTCACAGCTCTCGCCAGCACCTTTCCTTGGCAGCTTTCTTTGCATTAAGTCCTGCAGCCAAAGCTCAGCTCCCGGCAGCCAGCAGAGCTGCTACAGCTTATCCCCTCCCAGGGCAGTGTCACCCTGAGGTACTGTGTCAGTGGTTACCCACCCCTAAGGTCCCCTCCATCCATGAGGAGCAGCTGCTGCTAGGTGACAGCAAGTCCAAGCTACAAAAATCCAGTGTAAATAACAAATTTATTGTGGTCACTTCAGGTAGAAAAGCTCTACACCAAATTCACATGACCGAGTTGTTAAATAGAACGCTTCCATGGCCAGTACTTCTACACCCCTGTTGTCATTTACACGCCCCCCCCCACTACCCTTCCCTCCCCAGACAAACACCTGCTAACGAAAAGCAGTAAACAGCCACTTTGGGCTAGCATTTCCAGCTCCACTCACGAGTGAAGATTCAGAGTTACATTCCAAATTAGGAGTTCAATATTTTAAACAAGTGTTCCTGAGTCCAATATATACACACAACATTCAGGGATGCCAGTATCTACAACTCATCCTTTTCTGCTGTTTCTTCTTCACCGGAGGGAGGGGGGCCTGCGCTTCCATAGAGCTTGCTAACAATGGGCTGAACGACTTCCTCTAGCTCCTTCTTCTTTGATTTGAAGTCTTCGATATCCGCATCTTGGTGGCTTTCAAGCCACTCGATCTTTTCCTCTACTGCCTTCTCTATTGTTTCTTTGTCTTCAGATGACAGCTTGCCACCCAGCTTCTCTTTGTCCCCAATCTGGTTCTTCAGAGAGTAGGCATAGCTCTCCAGCTCGTTCCGGGCATCAATGCGTTCCTTAAGCTTTTTGTCTTCCTCTGCAAATTTCTCAGCGTCGTTAACCATCCTCTCAATCTCTTCTGGTGTTAGCCGATTCTGATCATTCGTAATTGTGATCTTGTTTTTGTTCCCAGTGCCCTTGTCTTCAGCTGTGACGCGGAGGATTCCATTTACATCTATTTCAAAGGTAACTTCAATCTGTGGGACGCCACGAGGAGCAGGAGGGATTCCCGTCAGATCGAAAGTTCCCAGAAGATGATTATCCTTGGTGAGGGGACGCTCACCTAGAAGACAATTACACAATTAGATAGGTCACAATTAGACAGTTTTCTTTGCTACCCGTGGTTTGCACTTCTTGCAGAACCACTAGCTTTTAGCTACATGCTTTTCAAAGCTGAGGTTTTAAATTCCATCTCAACGTTCATCTTGATGCCTACACTATCACCTCTTTCTTACTCTAAAGAGAAGCTCTTCAGAACACAACCATGGAGTAACCATGTTTGAGAGCTGATCTTTTGGGAACTGATCTGCAGAGCAGCCATTGATGCTGCTCAGAGCTGCCTCAGTCTGGTAACAGCCAAAGGCATGGATAGATATTTGCATCTGGGAGTACCTGCAGCTGGCTGACCAGCAGACAGTGTGAGGCTGTGAGATCCCAGCTGCTGCAGGGGACACGGGCAGCACTCACCTTCGTAGACCTTGATTGTCACAGTTGGCTGGTTGTCAGAAGCTGTAGAGAAAATCTGAGACTTCTTTGTGGGAACCACAGTATTTCTTGGGATCAGTTTAGTCATCACACCTCCAACTGTCTCAATACCAAGGGTCAGAGGACACACGTCAAGCAGGACCAAGTCACCTGCAACAAACAGATCAAGGGGCAGAATGTGAGCGACTTCAGCTCCTCTTTGAGGGAGTGCATTCATTGCAACAGTCTGAGGCAAATACAGAACTCAGGAAATTCACATCCACCACTGTTTGGCAGTAACAGTACCTGCTCTTCAGTCACTCTTGAGAGTGACAGTAAAGATGCAATTACCTGAAGATTTAATTACCTGTGTCTTGGTCCCCAGAGAGAACACCAGCCTGAACAGCTGCACCATAGGCTACAGCCTCATCTGGATTAATGCCACGAGAAGGCTCTTTGCCATTGAAGAACTCTTTAACAAGTTGTTGTATTTTGGGGATGCGAGTAGAGCCACCGACAAGAACAATCTCATCAATATCAGACTTCTTCAGGTCAGAGTCTTCCAGAACTTTCTGAACAGGCTTCATTGTAGAACGGAACAGGTCCTGGAAAGACAAGAGTTCGGACAGTGAGACTCTATTCCCACATGCCTAGTCCCAAGCTTAGGGCACTAAGAACTGCTGAGTCAGCTCACCAAGGCTGTGTTCAGCCTCGATGAGAACTTATTTGTCAGTAACGTGTACAGCCCCAGATACCCCAGGAAGCAATGGTTTTCCGCTTTTTAGAATATAAATAACTTGCTACTTGAACTAAGTTATTTGCATTCTGCTGAAGTGTAACAAAGGCACAATGTGAAGTCCTGTGCATTCACCAGCAGCAATTTTGGGAGGGGCTGAGGCAATTTAACTCATTTTCTAAGCTTACCATGTTCAGTTCTTCAAACTTGGCTCGAGTAAGTGTCTCGGAGAAATCTTCTCCCTCAAAAAATGATTCTATTTCAATCCTGGCTTGATGCTGAGATGACAAGGCTCTCTTTGCTTTCTCCACTTCCCGTCTGAGTTTCTGCACAGCTCTATTATCCTTCCTGACATCTTTCCCGGTCTTCTTTTTGTAGAGTTTGATGAAGTGTTCCATAACACGTTGGTCAAAGTCTTCTCCACCCAGGTGAGTGTCTCCATTAGTAGCCACAACTTCGAAGACTCCATTGTCAATTGTGAGGAGGGAGACATCGAAAGTCCCACCACCCAAGTCGAACACGAGGATGTTCTTCTCACCCTCTCTCTTGTCCAATCCATAGGCAATAGCAGCAGCTGTTCTGTTTAGGGAGTAACAAATTCAGCAGACTGATCACCAGGCCCCACCCCCAGACACCCAGCGGGCAGAGCTGTTGAGGCTACTTACGGCTCGTTGATGATCCGCATCACGTTCAGCCCAGCAATGGTACCAGCATCTTTTGTGGCCTGGCGCTGAGCGTCATTGAAGTAGGCTGGCACAGTAACAACTGCATGGGTAACCTGCAGGAAGAGCAAGAGGAAATTATCAGAAAAATAAAGGACAAGCTACACACCTCAGAAATGAGCGCAGCAGTGCCTGGAACAAGTAGCCCATTGTTCCTTATGTAAAACCCCACAATCAGCTGAGCCACCTAAGCACCGAACAAAGTTTATGACAGCAAGCTTAATCCTGAGATTCTGCCCAGTTATCTTCAGTTTCGTAAGGCACCTCTGCCTTAAGTTCCTGTTAGCAGCACTAAGCTCACCTTCTTCCCCAGGTAAGCCTCCGCGGTTTCCTTCATCTTTGTCAGGACCATAGCTGAAATTTCTTCAGGAGCAAATGTTTTTGTCTGTCCACCGCCAACATCAACTTGAATATGGGGCTTGGCTTTCTTTTCAACAACCTGAGAAGAAAGAGACAGTGTCATATATTCCAGCAATTCTTGAAGCTATTCCTAATTGTCAGATTGCTTCTTTCTCTCTGATGATTCAGTAAATCCTTTATGAGCGTTGATCTGAATAGAAAGCTATAAAAGCCACAGGGTTGCTCATAAAAACGCTGATTTAAAGGCCTTGCTTTTCTCAAGCAGGAGAGAAAGCAGGCAGCATCTGCAGCCTGCTCATCTGACCCCCCCCACCTCCATCCACCACCCTGTGACCAGGCGCACCTTGAAGGGCAAGTACTTGATGTCCTGCTGCACCGAGGGGTCGTTCCAGGTGCGGCCTATGAGCCGCTTGGCATCGAACACGGTGTTCTCGGGGTTGGACGTCAGCTGGTTCTTGGCGGCATCCCCGATCAAGCGCTCCCCCTCGGGCGTGAACGCCACGTAGGACGGGGTGATGCGGTTCCCCTGGTCGTTGGCAATGATTTCCACCCGGCCATTCTTGAAAACGCCCACACTGCGGGAGAAGCGGAGCCGTCAGGCGGCACGGGGGCCTTCCCCTCCCTCCCCTCCCCCAAGTTCCGCTGTTCCCCTCCCCCTCCCCGTGCTCTGCCGTTTCCCTCCCCCCTTCTCCCCCACCCCCCCCAGCCGTTCTCCCAGGCCCCCAGCCCGCAGTCAGCCTCCAGCCCCCCCCAGCCCCGCCCGGCCGCAGCCCCCCACGCACCAGGAGTAGGTGGTGCCGAGGTCGATGCCCACCACCGTGCCCACGTCCTCCTTCTTCTCCTCGTCGTCCGCCCGCGCGGCGCCCAGCAGCAGCAGCGCCCACAGGAGGTGCCTCATGCCGGCCGCTCGCCCCTCGCCGCCCTGCCGGGAGCCCAAAAGGTCACAAAATGGAGGCGCCACGTGCGGGGCGCGGCGGCTCCGGCCCTCAGCGCGCCCCCCCACCCCAGCACCCACCCCCCGCCCAGGCCCGACACTAGGCCGCGGCCCCCCCGCCCCGTCCGTACCGTGCCACCGACCGCGCCTCGCCGCCAACTGCCGCTGAGCGCCCAGGCCGCGCCGGCC